ATGATGTTTAAGTAAAGGTAATGCACAAAATCGGAAATAATCGATACTTTTGGCCAATGATATTAGATACATTGTCGTACGAACCTTCACAACTTCTTTGCGAAATTAGTGAACCAACTAATGGTGGTTCTAGGCATTATCAGCTTTTGAAATCTGATTGTTCTTTTGTGTTTGAGTATTTAGTATCTATTGAAAATGATTTTAAACGTGCGGTCGCCAGCGTGGAGCAGAGGGTAGAGCGTCTGCTCTAGAGTCGCGAAGTAAGGAGTTGATCCTTACGTCGCGCACTCCTTCGAATGAGACCGTATAAACCGAGACTTCGTGTCGTAGAAGTTGTTGGCACGAAAATGATCCCTCCCTACTCAAAGGTCATAAGTGCCCAGTAAAGGACAAAAATCAGCAGCTCTCCACCGGTAAATGGTGGCGTCTCCATATAAGTGAACAATTCTCGAGAGGGACGTTAAATAATATACGATCAATCAATCAATAAACAACGTCCGCTTAATACATTATTGTGTAGGTATATATACGGTCATTACCGTAACGCCTTGTAATTACCGTAAGTCGAAGTCATTACCGTAACACACACCAAAAATTAAATATATATTTAATTGAAAGGTACCAACTTGTTTCTTATTCATGGAATTCGTAAGATTTACTTCATGTTTGACCAAGACTTAATGATGAAGCTATGATATCAGTCGGACCAAAAAAAAAGAAAGAAATGCAATGCACTAACTTAAAAAGTTTATATAACATTTAAGGTTGTTTTTTGCATACCAATAAAAATAATTAAATGACTCAGAATTTTCTTGTTGTTAATATATAATTGCTTTAGAATCATTCTATAAAGAACAGATAAAAAAATATTTGTTGATTGATTGATTGATTGTATACTGTTTAACGTCCCTCTCCAGAATATTTCACTGACATGGAGACGTCACCATTGCCGGTGAAGGGCTGCAAATTTAGGCCTATGCTCGGCACTTATGGCCTTTGAGCAGGAAGGGATCTTTATCGTGCCACACCTGCTGTGACACGAGGCCTCAGTTTATACGGTCCCATCCGAAAGACCGCCCCAGTTAGTTGCCTTTTACGACAAGCAAGGGGGTACTGAGGACCTATTCTAACCTGGATCCCCACGGGCCAAATATTTGTTGAAATAGATCACTTGTATAATTAACATGGGACTTGATTTTTGTTACGTAATGGGACTTGATTTTTGTTACGTAATGACATATATCAACGAGTAATACATTTTAAGTGCCCCAATTGATTAAATGTTATCACCAAGAACTTCAATGTTGATAGTATTAACTCTTAATACTATTCCTAAATGTACATTTTTTAAAAGGCATCTCTATGTAGAATGACTCAGATTTGACCTGTGGCTTCTTGATCTTTATGAAAGTTTCATTGACGGAAAAAATTCTGAAGAAAAATACTCTCCAGAAAACAACGGATTTGAGTTACCGATGATCTTAAACAGATTGAAATGTTAAGCTTGATTGTTCAGCTAGATACTGAAAATCATTTATAAGTAATTCTAGCTCAGTATGAGAATTTTTTGTTCAATGTTTCAAAGAAAAGGAGTGAATTTTTATCCTCCATTAATTAAGTCTCAACTTGTTACTAAAATTATTCTTACTTTTTTTTTTTATTTATCAGTTATTTTGTACTTTAAACATTCTTCAAGTTTTTAATTAAAAGAAAAAATATTTGGAGAAAAAATATCTTGTCTCATCTGCAACTGTACCGCATCTAATATATTTTTGTCTTTATAATTGATATCCGGAATCACTAAATTCTCTATTTATATCTTACAAAATCCTTTTTATAGAAAACAGTTCATGTAGCCTAACACAATTCAATAAAATCTTTAAAATAACTATCTGCTAATGATTGAGTGAAGAGTAAAGGTCCCTCTACCGGTATATGGCGACGTCCCTGCGCGAGTTAAAAATTCTCGAATAGGACGTAAACAACATATAATTAATCAATTCTCGTACAAAAACTAATACTACCAGAATAATATCGGCCGTTTGACAAATAATTACTCTTTCCACCATAATTACATCAGATTTAATCACTGCCTCCCCCGTGGTTGATGTTAGTAACCCCCCCCCCCCCCCCCCCGACAACAGTGAATAACTCTTGAAACATCTCTTTTTGCTGTAAACGGCAGAATTACGTTTTCTGCATATCATACCATGTAGTGACGGCAATTAAAACTGTTCTGCTTTGCACACATTCTCACAATCCACAAAGTTTTCAATGGCACCAGCAAGGAAAATTATCCGATTGATTGATTGTGTGTTGTTTACGACCCTCTCGACAAATTTTCATCCATAAAGAAACGCCACCTCTTTCTGCTGGAGAATTGCAAGTTTGTTCTATACTTGGCACTAACGGCCATTGAGCAGTGAAGGATCCTTTTCGTGCCAGCCTACTATGTCACGGGCCCTTGGTTTATACGGTCTCATCCGAATGACAAATGTAAAACCTTTTTTTGAATTTGCTCTCAAAACACGGGAAATCATTAAATAAAATTAAGTTTGAACTTTAAAGATTCAGATTCAACCAGGCCATGGCTTTATGTATTTCTGAGGAAACCATTTGCCACTGCTGACTGACTAATTCCAATAAATGATTTTTAGTTTCATTTTTTAACTAACTGTACAAGAATAGAGCAGGAAGAAATACTTCCACAATTGTTAAAGTTTCTTTACAATTTAAATGCTGTAGTGTGTAACAATGCACTGGGGGCGTGGTGGGTATATTGATTGTACGAAAAGATTTTAAAAGGTTAAACAAAATGAGCGCAACGCATCATACGTTTTCATTGAAATGGGAAGCAAGAGATAAACAAGAGGCCCAGGGGCCACATCGCCTACCTGAGTACTGTGACTAGGAAAAGAGCAAAAATCAGTTGAGTATGAAGGATATGGAGATAACAAACAGAAATCAACACCAAACTCCATAAAACAATACAAAATAGGAGCAGAGCAAACACGGACCTCCGAAACATCAGAGGTGGGATCAGGTGTCATAGCATTCCCTGCTGACCGGTCACTCCCGCCGTGTGCTCCTTGTCATGAATAACATGATCGGGTAATAACGGAAAAATTCGTCGTCTATTCAGTGTATAAATAATGGACTAACAATTAGTATGAAAAACGTCAGTCAGCATTTGTCTCAATGATAAATTGTATTTGCTGACAAGGTCATTGTATCGACCATAGAATTTACGAAATGATACTTTAAACGAGACTGTTGATATTCTTGTTTCATCAACTTAACTGACAATAATTTACTTTGTTTTTAGAAATTGTTCATACGTAGAGCATGCTCTTGCGTATCGAATCAACTGAGATGTATACACTCCGTATGATGGTGATGACGGTAAACTACTGCATAAGTAAGGGAAGTTGACGATAGAAAAGTTAAAGTCATCACGTTTATAATATAGTTTGTTGTTAGATTACCATTAACGTCTTTTCAAGTAAAATATCCAAGTATGAAACACATTTGTTGAGTATTAAAGAGCTTAAATGCATGAGTGGTCTAAAACTACGCCTAAAAGGCCTAAGGGGAACGGGGTACAATTTGAACAAACCTGAATCTACACTACCTGAGGATGCTTCCAAATAAAATGACATGGCTTTACTGTTCTTGGTAAGATTTTTTCTATATACTCCTACGTTGAAGTTGATCGTCAATTGTTTTTACACCCTACCCAGGGGGTCATGACTTTGAACAAACTTGAATCTACACTACATGTACCTGTGGATGTTATCACATTAATATGAACAGTCAAGGCTTTGGTGTTCTTGATAAAAAAGTATTTTGAAGATTGATCCTATATACTCCTATGCTAAACTTTCATCGTCCATGTTGTGGCTCCACCCTACCCCCAAGGGTCATGATTTGAACAAACTACACTACCTGTGGAATCTTTCACATAAATTTGACCAGCCATAGCTTTGATGTTCTTAAGAAGAAGATTTGAAGAGAATTTTTTTTTCATAAATAGTCCTATGTTAAACTTTGATCGTCCATTGTGGCTCCGTCTCTCCCCCCAGTGGTCATATTTAGAACAAACTTGAATCTACACCACCTGCAGATGCTTCCATATAAATATGACCAACCATGGCCTTGTTGTTCTTGAGAAGAAAATTAAGATTTTCCCTACATATATATCTATGTTAAACTTAGATCATCTATTGTGACCCCACCCTTCCCCCGATGGTCATGTTTAGAATAAACTTTAATCTACTCCACCTAAGAATGCATTCATATAAATATAACCAATCATGGCTTTGCTGATCTTAAGAAGATTTTTAATGATTTTTCTTATATATTCCCAAGTTAAACATTGATCATCTATTGTGACTCCACTCTACCCAGGGGGTCATGATTTGAACAAACTTGAATCTACACTACCTGATGATAATTCCACATGAGTTTCATCTTTCCTGGCCCAGTAGTTCTTGAGAAGAAGATTTTTAACAGTTGCCATTAATTTTTCGCTAAATCATAATAATCTCTCCTCTGAAGAGAGCATGACCCTCCATTTGAACAGACTTGAATCTTCTTCCAAGTTTTGATTGAAATTGGCCCAGTGGTTCTTAAGAAGATGAAAACGTGAAAAATATACAACAGATAACGGACAAATTTTGATCAGAAAAGCTCACTTGAGCCTTCGACTTAGGTGAGCTAAAAAGTAACCTGCATGAAAATTATACAAAATACGTAGAAATTGCACGATAAACTACTTAAGTGACACGTGTTATTGTACCCCTTTTCACACCCAGATTTGCTTTTAAAAATAACCAATAAGTAATAAAGATGAAAAAGCAGAACCAGAAAACGCGTAGAAAAAAAAATATTTATACTTCCTTATTTTTAAGCAAACCGTGACCATTTACATACTGCCTTTAAAATGCTTTAACATAAAGCGGAAAAAATATCGTGATAAGCAAGGTTATAAAGCGTTAGAAATTTCTTTTAATAATCATACAATAATGTCTGAATTTGCTAATTATACTTCACCGATTTACCGTATCCCCGCTTTGAGGGACGGATATGATCTCCCTGTATACGGTCTGGGTTCAGAGAGATTTTATGCCTTGCATATACCAGCACTGACTTGCATTTTCCTGAGTTTAATTTCGGCTATTACATCGGTTATTCTAAGCTTCGGGAAAAGTCCAAGAAGAAAATTTTTCAGTTGGACTAAAAGCGAGAGATTTGTGGTGTACATGGCGATATGTGATGGTTCTTTCAATGTGGCTCACAGTATACAGGTCCAGTCCAAAGACTATTTCTACCTACTTTTTATATTTTTCTGCATTTTGCGGCCAAAAAGACCAAAGCTATAGACCATCTTGCAAAATATCGTGATAACCAAGTACCATGTGTACCCTCCAACACTCTGCCAGTTCTATAGTTTCACATTGTTAGAATTCGTCACCGCCCAGATTTTAATGGTTAATATAGTGGCAGTAAATGCATTCATGCTGATTAACTTAAATAAGCAGCTGAAATTTGGAAAACGAGACTGGCGACTTCTTTTGTGGATTTTCGGTTTTCCTTTTCTATTATCATCAATTGCCCTTGCGGCTAAACAGTTTGGACCGAGTGGAGCATTGTAAGTGTCAGTCTTTCGTTTGTCACCAATCTTTTCACATTTTCAAATTATTTATAAGAGAAAACTACGTAAATTTCATTTGTCTTGGGACTAAATAATTGAACAAAAATACTTACAAATCACCATCCAAGAACCATGATTTAACTCAGTTATCATTCTGTAAACTCTTTCTTCAAAGGGGATTTTAAATTTACAAACGAATATATCGGGGGAAAATCTTTAAACCTTTTCTCAGGAACAAAAAAGCCAAATTTCCAATTTATCAACTTAAAAAGGAAGTTACTGACTTGATGTGGGTTTTTTTCTGTTCAAGAAGTAGTATGCCTTTAGTTTCTTTACATAAGAATATTGGAAAGTTTCATTTACATGCATGTAACTGCGAATGCAGACAAACAGTGTTGTCTGTCGGCCATTTTTTTTTGGGCAAATATATATATTTCTTTAAATTATCTACTGACATTACTAGTATACAATGTATTGATTACATTTTAGCTGCTTCTTTGACGGTGTAAATGGTCAGCTAGCTCAATTTCTGTTGGCATCCCTTCCTCTGGCAATCATTCTTCTTGTAAATGCAACCCTGTACGTCCTTACGTGGATAAAACTCCGCTCCGTGGAACATTCTTTGAAAGAGTCCTTAGGAAAACAAGCCTCAGCAACCAGAATGAAACACTCGGCAGTGCGAGCAATGTCGTTATTCGTGCTGGCTTTCATCATTCAGTGGTGGTCGCTGGCATTGTTCGGAATCTGGGTGTTTATCAACCCAGTGAGTGTTCCTCCGGTGCTTTTCCATACTGTGACCATATTCTCAAACACCGGTGGAATTTTGAATCTTGGCGTGTATATCCTGATAAGACGAGGAATAAAGCTACACAAACAGACTGAAGAAAGCTCAAGTCGAACAGGAACTAAAGAAACAAGTCACACAGAATTGTAGAAAATTAAAGCTGAACACGTCTCGTAAATAGACATGCGCCATTTTCGATATCATTATTTACAAGACATCAACACTAGGATATGCTCTTCGCATTCTTTACACCTGACTGCTATATTGTTACGGGTATCGGCGTGGAATGGCGACCTGTGTTCGTGCTGGTTATCTTGCATTGCCTCTGTTTACATTTTATTGCAATTACGTGTATCTGTGTTTGTTTGCAATGACCTGTACAACTAACTATAATTGTAAGATTTTTTGGAATCTTACTTTCCTGCATTAGACGAAGTATCAGTAATTTACGTCGCTACCGAGTGCTGTATAGCATACGTCCGTCTACATCGGTGTCGACTGATTACAATGAACAATGTCCAAGTCAAGCCGTATATAGATTTAATAGGGGTCTTCAGATATAGCGAGAATCCGATCAAAAATGGCGGACATATATCATTTATGAATCGTGTTCATCTTTAACTTCAATAAGTTGAGTCATACTTCTCTTTCATTAATCAAAATAGTTTCACGAGTGAGGTGAATAATAGTGTTATTTTAATATTAATACCATGATGAAGATACTTGAATGGCTTGAATTTAGGTGTAAGAGCTTCTCTAGCTGCCATTTTTTTTTATCTCTTTGCTTAAATTTTATTTGGAAATTTATTATTTAATCTTATTAAAATACGATGAAAAAGCAGTTATTCTCTATGTTTTATTAAATGATCATCGTAATAAGTTTGCTGTTTTTTTTATCTTGCTGTTTTTATGAACTTCTGTTACGTCTGCCACGAATGTAAGGAATACATTGATGGAGTTTTAACATTACTATATACAAGGTGATTTGGAACTAATGAAAACCGAGAATCCGTTTCTTGTGTGTTGAAGATTAATACAAAGACATTTTTATGCTCAATAGATCCCGGGGGTATATTTTTTGTCCTGTCTGTCTTTTTGTCTCCCTGTCTGTATGTTGTCAAATTTAACCTAAACCATAACTTTTGAGTTGGTGGGGCTATGGCTTTCATATTTCACAGGTGTATTCCTTGTGTCAAGATTTTTTCCATGGGAACCACCAAATTTGACCTCCTGATCTTCACCTTGGAGTTTGACCTACTTTTACAAAAAAAACACACTTTAACATTGGCGATAAATTTTGAACAATTGGAGCTAGGGCTTTCATCCTTCATATGTGTATTCACTGTGATAAGACCTTTCAGTTGGTATAAATATTTTTGATCTTGACCTACGAGTTTGACCCACTTTTTAAAAACGTTAACCTTAGTAAACATTAGAAATAGAGCCTCCATATTCCACAATGTGTTCCTGGTAACAAGTCCTTCCATTGCATGGGTACCAACACTTTTTACCTTGACCTTTGGAGTTTGACATGCATTTGAGAGAATTCATCCCTTACCATAAACTTCCATACGGGGGCATCAGTGTTTCGCAAACATATCTTCTTTATCCTTTTTTAATCAAGAGTTGATAACACATACACAAAATTACCAAAAACGAAATGAAGGTGGACAATATGCGAGGTCATTGACACAACTGAAATTTGAGTGTTCCTCCGGTGCTTTTCCACACTGTGACCATATTCTCAAACACCGGTGGAATTTTGAATCTTGGTGTATATATCCTGATAAGACGAGGAATAAAGCTACACGAACAGACTGAAGAAAGCTCAAGTCGAACAGGAACTAAAGAAATAAGTCACACAGAATGGTAGAAAATTAAAGCTGAACACGTCTCGTAAATAGGCATACGCCATTTTCGATACCATTATTTACAAGACATCAACACTAGGATATACTCTTCGCATTCGTTACACCTGACTGCTATACTGTTACGGGTATCGGTGTGGAATGGCGACCTGTGTTCGTGCTGGTTATCTTGCATTGCCTCTGTTTACATTTTTACATGTATCTGTGTTTGTTTGCAATGTTCTGTACAACTGTAATTGTAAGATTCATTGGTATCTTACTTTCCTGCATTAGACGAAGTATCAGTAATTTACGTCGCTACCGAGTGCTGTATAGCATACGTCCGTCTACATCGGTGTCGACTGATTACAATGAACAATGTCCAAGCCAAGCCCTATATAGGTATAATAGGAGTCTTCAGATATAGCGAGAACCCGATCAAATATGGCGGACATACAGTGGAGCTCATTTATCCGGACGCTTTGGTCCCTAGTCAATTTGTCTGGATATGTGAAGCGTCCGGATACCTGAATCACCAGTTAAACAAGACAATATAACATTTCAAAATTTCGTCCTGATGTAAAATCGTCCGGAGACTGAAGCATCCGGATATCTGGGGTCCGGATATCTGAAGGTCCACTGTATATTCTTTAAGAATCGTGTTCAGCTTTAACTTCAATAAATTGAGTCATACTTCTCTTTAATTAATCAAAAAAGTTTCACGAATGAGGTGAAAAATAGTGTTTTTTAATATTAAAACCATGATGAAGATCCTTGAATGGCTTGAATTTAGGTGTAAGAGCTTCTCTAGCTGCCATTTTTTTTTTAAATCTCTTTGCATAAATTTCATTTGGAAATGTGTTATTTCATTTTATTAAAATAGGATGAAAAAGCAATTGTTCTCTATGTTTTATTAAATGACCCGCGTAATAAGTTTGCTGTTTTTTCAACTTGCTGTTTTTAAGAACTTCTGTTACGTGAAGGATATGGAGATAATGTACAGTATACAATCTCAAAGTCCATAAAACAATACAAAATAAGAGGAGAGCAAACACGGACCCCGAAACATCAGAGGTGGGATCAGGTGCCATGGAGGAGTGAGCATCCCCTGCCGACCGGTAGTAGAGCAAACACGGACCCCCGAAACATCAGAGGTGGGATCAGGTGCCATGGAGGAGTGAGCATCCCCTGCCGACCGACCTCTGTCACGACTGTAAGGAATACATTGATGGAGTTTTAACATTACTATATACAAGGTGATTTGGAACTAATGAAAACCGAGAATCTGTTTCTTGTGTGTTGACTATTAATACAAAGAATGACAACCGAGAATCCGTTTCTTGTGTCATGTTCTTTCAGCCGACAAGACCAGAAAAATTTGGTCGCCCGGCATTAGAAATAGAGCCTCCATATTCCACAATGTGTTCCTGGTAACAAGTCCTTCCATTGAGTACCAACACTTTTGACCTTGAACTTTGGAGTTTGACATGCATCAGCTTCAAAAACACATCTTGTTTATCCTTTTTTAATCAAGAGTTGATAACACATACACAAAACTACCAAAAAACGAAATGAAGGTGGACAATATGCGAGGTCATTGACACAACTGAAATTTGAAATGTTTATTATTTAGCGCTTAGTGTATCTGTACATGAATAGTCCCGTGGACACCATTATGATAGTTCCTGATGTGATTAAGTCCCTGTAACATATTGTTCATGTTGCCGTCAGTTTGTGACCAGGCCCAACCACCGGCGAATCCCCCATTGTAGGCGTGATCGTACAGCTGATTAATCGTCATACCACCACCATTTTTCTCTCGGAATTCCCCAATAACCAATGGCTTGTGTAAACCAAAGGCCCTGAAATTGTGCTATAAATTAAGAAAAAAATTGACAATCATACTTAGAAGTTGTTTCGAAACTGTTTTGCTTACTAGCACCATACATGTGTTCATTCAGATTAATGCATTTGCTTGTTATTTAACTTCCCTCTTGAGAATTTTTCACTCGTATGAAGACGCCACCTGTTGCCGACAGAGAGCTGTAAATTTTGTTCTATACTGGGCACGAAGGGACATTGAGCACTTAAAGATCTTTTTTGTGCCAGCACACATTGCGACACAGGATGTAAGGTCTTGTCCGAAAGACTGGTCTGCATATCCAACAATGGGATTCGAACCCGCGACGAAAGGATCAACTACTTCCGTCGTGACTCTAGAGCAGACGCTCTAACTAGTGCGTCACGCGGTCGACTTGGATAATGTGGAAGACCAAATATTATAACAAAAATATCTTTATTTCGTCGACAATTTTTCACTACTTGCAATTGGAGGTCTTAAACTGAATTTAGACCTATACTCGGTACTTCTAAAAGGTCATTGAGCAGTGGAGGTCATTTTCGCGCCAGCATTTCCGTTTATTCGGATTCATCCGCATTTAGATTCAAATCTGCGGCGTAAGAATTAACTTGGAACTCCGCGACTATAGGACAGAGACTCTAACCACTGTGCTGTGTGGGCTAACTAATGTGTAGATTTTACCTTGAAGGGGGACTCGGTTCCAAAATGTCCTTGCCAATCATAAGAATGAACTTGGTAGAAGGATAATGTGCCCTATGAAAGGAAAGGAAAAATGAAACAGATTTTTTTTGAAGTACGTAGTGTAACGATCACAATAAAATGAAGAAACTTATCTGTAACTAACCTGGGCCTTTCCCCCGGCCTTTACCAGACAGCTATCTTTGTACATGTTATGGAAACCAAAGTTATCAGTGTTCACTTTTCCATTCCAAGCCCCTACGGTAACTAGAGCGTGGGGATCTACTTCTTTTATCGCCGCAGCCTGCCAATTGAAAAACCTTAAAAAGAGAAATTTTGAATATTATTTTCATTCTTGAATAATCTATTATTAAAAAATACATATGGTGTTAAATCACAATAACCAATAGGTTCTTAATCTAAATATTATTACTGATCAACTAAGTGTATTATTATTCCGTTTCATCACCAGATTTCGCATTTCAGTATATGTCCTCACTATAGTTTAAGTAAATGTACAATGTAGGGTATACGTACACTTGAAAGTCAAAATCAAAACGGTATACAAAGGTTTTTAGGTTTAAATGAAGTTTATTGCTACAGTTAACTGAAATTTGATCAAGGAGCATTTAAAGAAAACAAATGTCAACGAAGAACAGATACAAGGACAATTGGAGATTATGTTAACTGAAAATTGACCAAGAAACGTCTCGTATTTTTTAAATTTCTTGACCGACAACGTCATAGGGATTCTCTTCAGACACAAATGGATCAAGACTTTGTCATTTGAATTCATACGTCATATTTTCGTCTGCTTCATATACAAAATGTATTGTTTAAATTTTGATGTCAAACAAGTGATGGAGGAGAAAAGGGAAGAAATGTCGAGAGCTTTGAAAGAAGTCATCATACAGAAATGGACAACAAATTGCAGACAAAGTACAGGCGGTGAACAAGTCTTTGTCGTCATTTATTAGAAAATTTCATCATTCAGAAAGTTTGGAAAATCACAGTCGATCAGGCCGACCACGACTGATTGACGAACGTGAATATCGAAGGTTGCAAAGATTACTTAATGTTGATGGTTGTGCACCTTTAGATTGAATTACTGCTAAATTCCACGAAAACAGGAATGTTGCGGTTTCTTAAGAAGACGGTAAAACGTAGACTGAAAGAACGTTGATTTCCCAGAGGAGTAAATAGGAAGAAATTAACGATAAAAAGTGTGAACAGGAAAAAGCAGCTGTCATGAGAAAAGGTGGACTGTTAACTTTCACTGGAGTAAAAAAAAATAGTGATAGTGTCCGATATGTGTTTGGAGAAAATGAACGTGTTTATGTGTGGAGAAAAGCCGGTGAAGGATGGAAACCGGACTTGGTTCCACAAACAAACAAGCTAATTCAGAGAATTCGTGTCCCCCGCTTAGGGAAAAAGTCGGCTCCCCCTGACTGAATTTGTAGAATTATTAACTGAATACATGTATACTGAAGCAAATAAAATACATGTATGTCAATATTCATACAAAGATTTGATTGCTTATTCTTTATTATGTGTATAGAAGATTTTTTTATATGGAATATTTATCACACTGTAATGATGATTTTATAACCTCATAAATTTTTCATACATGCTCAATACTATCATTTAGTAAAAAAAAAAGGATTTAAAAAAAAAAAATGAAAGGTTCGACCGAGATTCGATCCCGGGACCTCTCACATTTGAAGCGAGAGACATAACCACTAGACCACGGAGTCGCTTTATACGAATAGAAGTATATGCAGAACTGAAGTCACATACATGTATATATTCATGTTCGGTTTTCTCAAAATTTTACACAATCCATGGTGTTTGATTTATTTAGCCTTTATTAAACAGTTCTAATAGATGTAATAAGAACATGAAGTCCGCCGAGAACCTGTTTTATACGCAATAACTCTCCTCATGCCCCTGCGCTAAAAATAGCGCCATGTAATACTATAAATACTAATAAAACAAACGGGGCGGGGCACTTTGAGAGGGGCGAGAGACGTCCTAGGGAGTTTTGGTATAAAATTACATTGCATAAGCTCAAAATCTTCTTGAAATATCGCCTGGAAATGATAGTTTTACATACAGACAGAATGTATAAATTTACGACCTTGAACTTTGACCTTTTGACCTCAAAATCAATAGGGGTCTTCATTAGGCTACAGGGAGTTGTTATGTAAAATTTCATTGCAATAGCTCAAATGGTTCTCGAGATATCGTGTGGAAACGAAAGTGTTTTAACAGAGAGAAATTGCTTATTTATGACCTTGACCTTTGACCTTTTGACCTCAAAATCAATAGGGGTCTTCTTTAGTCCATAGGGAGTTGCTATGCTAAATTTCATTGCAAAAGCTCACAGGGTTCTCGAGATATCGTGTGGAAACGAAAGCGTTACAGACAGACAGAAAGACGGACGGACGGACGGACGGACGGACGGACAGATGTGACGGACGGACAAACCCAAATTAATATCCCCCACTTTTCAAGCGGGGGACAAATAAACGAAAATTCACTGTGATGGTATGGGGATATCTATGTTTTAATGGAGTTTAATCTTTATGAAGACCGAGTTAATGGCAATATTAATGCTGAGAAGAACATTGATTTTTAATAGACAACAATCTCTGGCCTGTCATTGTCCGTCACTTTCCAGCAAGAAACTTTTTTTTCAGGAAAATGTCCCGGTTTTATCGGGCGTGGATCATGCAAGAATTCATAGCAAGAAATCATATTAAAAAAGTTTTTTATTTTAAGAAAATATTTCTATATGCTCACTCCTCCGTGGCACCTGATCCCACCTCTGATGTTTTGGAGGTCCGTGCTTGCTCTGCTCCCATTTGGTATTGTTTTATGAACTTTGATCTTGAATATTGTTCGTTATCTCCTTATGGTTCATTGTATATTAAAAGAAAACTGCAACACCCATACATCGTATAAATTCAGATCGTGAGCTGTACCTTGTTAACAAATACTCAACATTTGGCAAGATATTAATCGCAATTACATACAGAACATCTATCAATCTATGCCTCGAATTTTGCAAATAATTCACTAGAAGGGACACTTGACTAAATATAAGGTGTTTTTTTTCGTACCGGTACTTTATATTAGCCAACTAAAACAGTTACCGTTTTTCTATCCGAGTTCTCTTTCTTACGACGGTTGTGCGGCGCCATTTTTGTACACACTTTTGTGCTTCTACTGTAGAAGGACATTACAAGAATTGGTCTTACGGAATTTATGATGTACTCATATCCCGATAGATGTTTGAAAATGATACTTTACTCAAATATACCTCAGAAGTTCCTGTGGCGTATAAAGCTTGCCTGCCCAGCCCGCGCCAGAGTTATGGAGATGACGTGTATCGAAGCATGGTTCGCTGCTAGTCAAATCAGGTTTCAACTCTCCTTCCGGTTCGTTCATCAAGTCCCATCCCCCAAGAGCCGGCATATCCTTCAGAGCTTGTACCATGGGCTTAAGGGCGTGGTTTATATAAGATAGAAGTTTTCCAGTATCCTGTAAGCATTTTTTAAAAACTCATTGCACTATAAAATAAGAAACAATAATGGAAAAAGACGAGATGTTTGTAAAACAATTATGAACCCCTAATAACCTTCCTCAAATGAATAGAATTAGTCCAAGAGGCATAACTTTGTCCAAAATTGCTCGATCGTACCCAAAACAAAGCTTGACCTAGATATTCTTACGATAAATTTGTATACCACATTTCCGTTCAGTAATGCCTCTGCAAAGAAAATGGAGTGAAACTGTTGGTGTACCGACCTACCGACAGACAGGCAGCAGCAAAGCAATATGGTCCCTTCTTCAAAGGGTGCATAAAAATTTCATCGTAAGAGAATTTAATACTTGAATGTTGTTGATACTGGTCATAATCTTGTGTAATTTAAGGATTAAAGAGTACAGTAAAACACACTCTCGCACAATACCCTGATTAAACCATCAAGACGGTAGTGTGTTTGTTGCTTGACAGCACCGTTCCATAACGTTGGGAACACAAAGATGTTATGATTCTGAGCAGCTGTTAACATGGATTTCATATCGTTTATGAAAGTACCGCCATTATCAAGGCCTGTCACGTGTCCACTGCCATCAAAGTGGGGCGAAGATTCTCCCTCGATATGAATCCAAATTCCTAAATGTGAAAAGATAAGTAAAATCAAGATTACTTAAATCTGTGGAAAATCGCATCTGGATAAAAGTTCTTAACGTCTGAATTTAAATGCAATTTCTGGCCTTTCCGACTAGCGGAAAAACGACCTCGAAATACTACGTACACGCTGTCACCCCCCCCCCCCCCAACTACACACTTTGAAATAAAAATAGGAAGACGCTCTTATCTGTAAAGTATGGAATTTAACTTTATTGAATATAAAGATGTTGCATGAAATATACTACAGAAGGGACAAGCCGGAAGATGTATAAAATTTTAACATCAGGTGACTTTAATACATTTGAGGTTGTTTTTCTGATCTCTGACGGAAAGACCCGAGGTGATGTGATTGATATAAATGATGTCAGAAAACAATAAGAATTGTGAGTTAAACAATTACGAATAGAGTTGGCTCCAGCGTTCTGCAGCTGCTGAAAAACGTGTTCATATTTGGCCTTTACGCTATCATACTGGCCATTTCCAAAGTCGTAAGCGTAATTTTCCCAAGCCTTGTTGATTCCGGCTAAGAACACCTTATGACCATTGTACGTGAAATGGGTTCCCTGTATACCAAGGCGAACACCTGAAGAATAGCAAATGAGTTATGAGAAAATATTTTTTGATTGATTTAACGAACAAAAATTAAATTTAAAGCTTGGATTTTTTTTCTCAACTTTTGACAATAAGAATCGTCAAATACTGATAAATATCAATTTGAAGGTATGCTTAAAGCGGTCATAATATCTTGGATAAGTCTTTGCATTTTGGTCATCTGTATCAAATAAGTCTTGGAAATGTAACGTTAATGGTATAAATGTCCAGTCTAGTTTTGCGTGTTCAAAAAGATTGTTTTAATTCAGTACCAACATTTGCATGGATACTGCACAACCAAATTGTGATAATGAGTTTAATCAAGAGAAGGAGGGCACATTAGATTGGCATTCGGCAGGAATCTGGGCATTCTTGAATAGTAGAGATGTCTTCGACATGTCATATCCCAACTGAAATTTAGCATTCTTTGTTTCTGTGAAATTAGGAAAGGGATTTTTTTTCCGATAATGTATTTTGATCTGCTGTAAAATACCTTGAAAACTGCCGAGATTAGACATTTTGTACAAAACGGTACCATTTTAACATTTTTGAAACGTTATTTTAAACACAAAAACGAACCAAATTCGAACAAAATGGAAGAAGGACCAGGAATAGAACATGATGCACATTATAGGAAAAGTTTATTTATTTCATTCTTCAAAAAACAACTCGAAACCGAGACTTTAAACTGTTTCATATGTCACAAGAACATAAATTAAATTAAATATTTTTAAAAACAATATTTAAACGAACATAATGTATTAATAATTACCCTGCTATTTATACTAGTACATGTTTTAGATCTAGAGTGCTTCCGAGATACAATGAAAATTTTTAAGCCCCCCTTCGAAGAATTGCTTTTTTCGGTCGGTCTGTATGTTGGCCAACATTTTCTTTGCAGAGGTTGCACGTACTAAATTGAGATGTAGTATACCGATTTCTCATAAGAAGATCTAGGTCAAGTTCTGTTTTGGGTAAGATCGAAACATTTTTGACATAGTTTCGCCCCTTGGACTCGGAAAAATTCTATTGGAGGGGGGGGGGGTGTTTTACAAACACGTCTAGTTCAATTCTAGTCTACAATACATGTACACCACATATAAATCTTGTCAGTCAAAGGTCGCAGTGGTTTCTGTTAAAGTAGAACTTTTGCTCTCGAGTTGATGAATAAGGAGTTGGTCCTTGCTTCGCTAGTTTAAATCTCTGTGCGGGACGTGAGAACGGTCCTTCATTAAGCCATATAAACTGAGGTACTGTGTCGCAGTAAGAACTTGCACGAAAAAGACCCCTCGCTATTCAAAGGTTCAAAGTGCCAATTTCGAGTCTGAATTTGCAGTCCTCCACCAGCAAATTTTAGTGAAAAAATGAAGTTAAAAAGTACAGGTCTCCACTGGCACTCCATATGAATGAAAAATTCTGGAGAGACATGTAACTCAACAAACAATATTTCACGATTTTAGCCTTATTACAATTTAACTCATTAAAATGCTCAATAACGTATCTTTTCTTAATTTCTTTATTGATGTACTCAACATCATTGAAGTTTTTTATTTCTTGAATATATTTCTAAATTACAATAAGAGTGAAACATAAAACCAAAAAATGGCTTTGCAAAATGAAGACAATTAAGTCACAAATGAGCATATGCCGCACTTAAACAGAAAGTCCTACCAAAAGCGGCTTCAACCACTAGCCCAAGAATCACACATAAAACAGTCCACATTTGACGAATTTATAAGACTCAATACATCTGATAAGACAGGAACACTGAATTATAATATCAGAATAAGGGTCGCAACCTTACGTTATCCTGATTGTTGTAATACTTATGTTATAAAATTGTTAAGAGCCAAGTTGTTATACCTTTTAAAAAGTTTCATTATTAACCTTTGCTATACATTTACCGAGTGGTGAAAAAAATTGGTTGTAGACCTTTCGGCAAGAGGTTGTCTGTTGTGGGTTTTTACCTCACGGCGTAGGCGGGAACTGTTACGACATTGGCCGAGTTAGATGCAATAATGTAGCCCTCTCCTATTTTTATGCGCCCGAATCGATAGATCCGAGGCGTATATTGTGTTTGTCCTGTCTGTTTATATGTTTGTCTGTCTGTTGTCAACTTTAACCTTCGCCATAACTTTTGAACCACGGGCGATAGAGACTTCATTTTTGGTATGCATTCTCAACAAATTAAGTCCTTTCAGTTGACACCAAGGACAATGACTTTGTGACCTTGACTGTGACCTATATGCTAAAAATAGCTTTTTCGAACTTTCACCATAACTTTTGAACCATGGGAGAGAGAGAGACTTTCTATTTGATATGCATATTCCACTAATTAAGTCTTTTCAAATAACACTAATGTCAATGACCTTGTGACCTTGACTGTGACTATATACTAAAAATACTTTTAGAAATTATGTTGTCGCCGGGCGCATAGTGTTTCACAAATACATCTTGTTTCTGATATTTAATAGAGAGGGCAAAAATTCCACACCATTTTTATAATGGTGCAGATATATATTTTTAATACGGGCGACTGCAGGCAAAATAAATTGTTGTTACATATAAGGTAAGTCCCTAGTACTGGACCTACTTGTGATTTAAAAAAAATTGTTCTCATATATTTAGATTGTTCATACTAAGGTATGATGAATATAAAGAAAGAAGGGGTTGTCAATATTATTACTGAGAGTTTCTCAAAAACAGATACCCGCATTTGTCAATTGGCGATATGAGATTCCAATAAAGGTTTCACATAATATGTCTATAACTATATATACAAACATTTTTTTTTTTTACGATAATGAATTAGTTTTCCTATTAAAATCAAAGAAATAACTAATTAAACAACAGTGAAATTTTTGTTTTTGACTAAATTGAAAAAAATACAACCCTCGACCGTTCCAATACCTGGAAATACAACACTATTAAAATCATTTTTTAAACAAGAGGACCATGGGCCACATCGCTCACCTGAGTAACTTGGGTGATGCAGTTCTTACCAGATTCCCCCTCTTGCTATACCTATCATGCCCCACTACCCCCTTCCCTTTTATGATTTTAAGAATTTAATATCTACACTACCCAAGGGTGCTTCCATAGAACTTTCAACTTTCCTGGCCCAGTGGTTACATCTTGAGAAGAAGATTTTTAAAGATTTGTTCTATATATTTCTATGTAGAATTTGGATTCCCTATTGTGGCCCCGCTCTACCCCCGGGGGTCATGATTTTAACAATTTAATATCTACACTACCCAAGGATGCTTCCACATAAGTTTAAGCTTTCCTGGCCCCGTGGTTCTTGAGAAGAAGATTTTTAAAGATTTGTTCTATATATTTCTATGTAAAACTTGGATTCCCTATTGTGGTCCCGCCCTACCCCCGGGGGTCATGATTTTAACAATTTAATATCTACACTACCCAAGGATGCTTCCACATAAGTTTAAGCTTTCTTGGCCCAGTGGTTCTTGAGAAGAAGATTTTAAAAGATTTGTTCCATTATTTCTATGTAAAACTTGGATTCCCTACTGTGGCCCCGCCCTACCCCCGGGGGTCATGATTTTAACAATTTAATATTTACACTACGCAAGGATGCTTCCACATAAGTTTAAGCTTTCCTGGCCCTGTGGTTCTTGAGAAGAAGATTTTTAAAGATTTGTTCTATATATTTCTATGTACAACTTGGATTCCCTATTATGGCCCCGCCCTACCCCCGGGGGTCATGATTTTAACAATTTAATATTTACACTACCCAAGGATGCTTTCACATAAGTTTCAGCTTTCCTGGCCCAGTGGTTCTTGAGAAGAAGATTTTTTAGTGACCCCACCTTACTTTTGTCTTTTCTTGATTATCTCCCTTTGTAAGGGGAGTTGGCCCTTCATTTTAACAATTTTAACTCCCCTTTACCCAAGGATGCTTTGTATCAAGTTTGGTCAAAATTGGCCCATTGGTTCTTGAGAAGAAGTCGAAAATGTGAAAAATTTACAGACGGACGGACGGACGACGGACAAAATGTGATCAGAAAGCTCACTTGAGCCTTCGGCTCAGGTGGGCTAAAAATGACATGATTTTTCAGTCAAATTCTCAAATTATGTTCATCTGTGACTATTTGTTAAACCGTTCACGGTAGCTCAGTCGGTAGAGCACTCGCTTCGTGATCAGGAGGTGGTGAGTTCGAATCTCGGCCGCGACTGACCTAAGTTGATAAAAAATGGGTAGCAACTGTTCCTTCGCCATGCGCTCGACACTTTGAAGTGAAAGTTGCGAGTCCTTCGGATGAGACCTTAAAAACCGTGTCAGCAGCAGGCGTTGGCACGATAAAGATCCCTCACTGCTCAATAGCCCTGAGTGCCGAGTAAAGGTTAAAATTTGAAGCCATTCACCGGCATACGGCGACGTCTCAATATGAGTGAAAAATTCTCGAGAGGGACGTTAAACAAAATACAATCAATCAATCAACTGTTTGTTAAAATTACATTAAAAACCAGCACATTCCCAGCATAATTTTTTTTCGCAGCACCACTATTTATTTATACATGTACATGTTGTTGTCCAAATTTAGATTTTTGATAAGGAATTTCAAATAAGTGAAGATAAAAAATACAGAGCTATTGATGACTTTTATTTCATTTCATAGAAGCATTACTGCAAAAGAATAACAACATTCTTTAAAATATAATATAATTTTAAAACCTTTAATACTTTCTGTGTGCCATTAATTACATACGTACATATATTTCACATATTCTACATGCATCTGTGGATGAAATGAAAATTCAGTCTAATAAGTCATCAATTTTGAAGCATTACTTTTTCCACTATTCTGGGTCAAAGAACATCCAAGTATATTCAACAGTATACACAAAAAATTAGTATACTGCAGAATAGTATGAGCTTCATAATCTTTTCCAAAACTATCGAGTTATTTACATTTGACTAGCTGGTTCATTAACACTGGTAGGTCAAAACTTTGTATATTATGCCCAACCAAAAAATGTAGTCTTCAAAAATTCAACAAACTGCTGAAGTCCTTCAAAGGGCTCTTTATGTTCGACCACCCTGCCATTACGCTTCAACACACCACTAACAAAAGCAAGTCCAGTTGCTGCAGATGCATCAAGACAAATTGGGGACTGCGGTGTCAAGAAAATGTTGAACTTTCTCTCTCCACATACAGCTGCAATCTGAACAATGTCAGATGTTCTGGCTGAAATACATCAAATTAGTATTGAAACTACCATAGTGTATACATGTACTTCTAAGTCAAGTGCAACACAATTCTTCTAACCTTATATACTAGTAATCTATTCCTTAGACATTTCTACCAAGAAAAACGAGTTCACAAACCTAACCCAGTAGTCTCTAGGTCAAATGCCACATAAGATTTGTTGGCACTTGGTAGTTTATCTAGTTTATTCAAGGAAATGACTTCCAAATCAACTTCATCATTCAAACCAATTTTGCTGCTGTATGTATCTGCTGCAATAGAAATGTTCGGAAAAAATGGTAGGTCAAAACATTCATCATGCAACACACATATAAAGTAAGTTTCAGATAAGTTGTATTTATCTGACTTACCTTCAAGAACAGATTGTGATGCATCTTTTGCAGACCGTTCTGACTAAAGCTCTAAACTCCTCCGCTTTGTGCTCCGATGTGCTTGTTGTAACCGTTTCCGCTTCAGTCTACTTTGCAGGATTCTGGAATGTTTGAAGATGTATCTTCCAGGAGACATTGCCAGTCTTTTATTCACCTTGGAAAAAAGAGAAGATATGAACTTGAAAACCTTTTTCTGGAAAAGAAGAAGAATCAACAGATTCTTAACAATATGAGAACATGTAATAAATATTTTTTTTTCTAGTAAGAGATTATATATTTTATGGAGTAAAAAAATCAATTGTGTCTGCATTAAAATGTATTAACAATAACATCAAACATTTTATAGTTGCGATTTTCAAAGAACTTTCAAAAAGCTGTTGATCCTTACGTCGTGAGTTCGAATCCCACTTGGGACGTGGAGACCGTTTCTTCAGATGAGACCGTATAAACTGAGGTCCCGTGTCGCAGTAGGCGCTGGCACGAAAAAGATCCCTCCCTGCTCAATGGCCCTAAGTGCCGCGTTTAGGACAAAATTTGCAGCTCTCCACCGGCAAGTGGCGGCGTCTCCATATGAGTGAAAAATTCCCGAGAGGGACGTTAAACAGTACACAATCAATCAAAATCTTTAAAAATTAATCATGCATTAAAATGAAACTGTAAAGTTAATCTAAAGAAAATGTAGACAAGATAAGAACAAAAACTACATAAGTAAGTTTAGGCTATGTATGGGTATTTTTGATGTTCCCTAATAGATACTTTATTTTAAGACATTGTCTAAACTGCCATGTGTGAACATCAAAAGAACATCAAAGAAATAGACGAGAGAGAGGGAGAGAGATCCACCATATTGTGTATGTGGGAAGCTGATCACGAGTCAGTTTATTTAATCAAGATTGTGTCAGTTGGCTTGCGGTATTGTAGTTCCGCGTCGGTTTTTCTCCTCAGTTAGTTTGAGTCCAGCGTGCCTCAACCTGTATGCTTGTTGGGAAAGGATACTGTGTTTTTTCTTCAGAAGACTAGGTAGATCCGTTTTCACCGCATTTCCTGTCGATAAAGTACTGTTCCTGACCTTTATTAAGATGAAGGTAATCCATTCTGGCAAATACCATGATGGCCTCCGACACTGACT